CTCACTCACTCACTCACTCACTCACTCACACACTCACACACTCACACTCGCACTCCCTCACAGACTCACTCACTCACTCTTCCACTTCCACTCACACTCACACTCCTCACTCCCACTCGCAGACTTTTCACTCGCTCTCACTCACACTCGCACTCACTCACCCTCACCCAGACTCATCGCGCCCGCCTTCACTCTCACTCACACTCACTCGCGCTGACACTCTCAGTCACTCACTCTCAGTCACTCTCACTTTCTCACTCTCACTCTCACTCTCTCACTCTCACTCTCTCACTTTCACTCTCACTCTCACTCACTCTCCCACACTCACTCTCACACTCACCCACACTCCCACTCACACTCACACTCAGTCACTCTCACCCACACTCACTCTCACTCACTCACACTCACTCTCCCACTCTCAGTCGCACACACTCTCACTCTCACCCACACTCACTAACACTCACCTTCACTCTCACTCGCGCTCACTCACACTCACACTCACACTCACTCTCACACTCGCACTCACACTCGCACTCGCACTCGCACTCACACTCACTCTCCCACTCTCACTCACACTCACACAGTTGCGTCTAGATCTCTAGACTTTCTGCTTTCAGACCTCACACACACTGTTTGGGGTCTCTTGCCGGGATAATTTTTTTCTTTTTTTACAGTTGAGAAACTATTAGATCGCTTACTTCCAGCACTGCAGTGTTTGGTTTGCTTCCAATTTGGTGCTGTTAGGCTTTATGCACACATTGTTCTTCAACCCTTCCGAACAGCAACATTCCTTAGTCCGTCGTATCTATCGCTTAGGTTAAACAAAGTTTTTTGCTCTGTTTATGTAGCTTGAGGTTGAATGCGCTAACCTAGTTGTGGGCAGAAATGCCTGGGAGTCGCTAGCGTAGCTCAGTCAAAAGGTTGAACTCACGCAGAGAATTAGGGGTGTGTCTCAGTGTTCTGGAATCACAACCGGCATGCCACACATTTTCTTGTTTATCCCAATGGGTTTCCAATGTACTTTACGATTGGTGGAGTTTGAGCGGTTCGTGGTCCCCAAACGAAGGTGCAGCTGTAGGTGCTGCAGGCTCGCTGAGCCGACTTGTTGGTGCTGTAGGCTTTTCCCTCAATCAACTTCAACAGCTCTCGGTGTCCAATAAACATACACCGAACACCGTCTCAGGTAAGACAAATTAAGGTTCTCACCAGCGGAACCACCAGAGTTTCTATGTACTTCATGAACAGCGCTTCTGAATGAATACTGGCCTCAAGCAAGTCCCTTCAACCTGACTAGCACTAGTGGCCAGCAATTCCTAAGTCCAGAGCTCCGCGCAGAGATGCTAGTTGCCATGAGATTTTGCTCGGTTTTCGTCCTGTGCCAACTGATTCGGACCTTGTCTTAGGTGTTCGTGTCATTCTCAATTCAGAGAAGCCAAATCCGTCTGTGCCTTGTTACTGGACGTGCTTGGATGAATCTAGGAATCGGGCAGTTGCTGAGGTTTAAGCGTCTTGCCGGAACTACCTCGCCCTTCTTTGGATTGTCCCCGACAAGTCCAATGAGAGGAATCCAATTTACAGCTGCTTTGCCGTGCCATTTCTGCCGGACCGCCGGGAGTTTGACAGGAAACGACTACATGGCCCTCGTGCAAGACAAACTTAGTGAGGATGAAAAGGACATGCAAAGCAGTCCTGATTATTCTTTCAATCTCGATCTTGATCGTGGCAATTAATATGTTGGGTGTTCGTTGCGAACCTTTACTCAATTACTTCAAACGCAAAAAGGAAGATGGATTGAAGACATTAAACTATAACTATGATAGACATCCAAAAAGCCTTAATGCTAATCTGGCACTCTTGTTCGGACACTGGGACGTTTGTGAGAATCACAATGTTTTTTTTGACGTTTCATATGTTCTTTTGGTCGACGATTTATTGTGGAGTGGGTCTCCAGATAGTTTGCTTCCCGTCGGCCGCCTCAAGCTTTTCATCTCACTTCGTTTGGATATGTATATATATTGGTAAGCCCTTATAATGCTAAACATATCAAAATGAAAACTGGTGCTTACAGGCTGTAAAATTGGTGCATTTCCTGGTGTGTGGTCTGGTGTGTGGCAATGTTTGTCAATTGTGTATGGTTTTATATTTATCAAGGTCGACATAAAAAGTTGTGCAAACCTGGGTGTTGAGACGAATGTGGCTTCATTGAATGGTGAAAGGGCGGTGCTAAACCTGGTGTTGAAATGGATGTTGATGAATTGAATGGTCAAAAGATTGCGCAAAAACTGGTGTTGAAACAGAAGGGGCTTCATTGCATGGTCCAAGGAGGTGTAAAACTTAGTGTCGATAGTGTCGAAACAACCGTGGAGTCCCAAATCAAAGCACCAGAGATGAAATACAAGATAAATACTAGATCAGCGCTTTGAGATGCGCTGTGCTTTTTCCAGATTTGCAGTGAATGCTTGGACCGCTGCCCGGCAGGCTTGTCTTCATACACGCGCAGAAGATTTAAAGTCAAAGTCAAATGATGTGTTCCCACATGCATGTGCCGGACAAAAACGACGTTATTAATAACAGTTTTTGTCAATAACCGTGTGGATGGCTGTGATGGCTGTGGATGCCTTTGATGGCTCCCGCCCCACTCCCGCCCCACTCCCCCACTCCCGCCCCAGTCCCGCCCCACTCCCGCCCCAGTCCCGCCCCACTCCAAGGGCTGGAAAACCCAAAGTAATATGTGAACATGTGTTCCTGGATTTCTAAAACATAAATCGAAGTCAAGGGTCTGAAGATTTCTGGGACTGTTTTTTGATTGCATGGATCGCCATTGAATAGTTGAACACAAGTTGTTCAGCGATCTGAGCTCTGCTTACGCATGAGTTTCTTGCACCAACATAGTCAAGATTTGAACCCAGTCGTGCACCACCCCCGACACCTCGTCGTGCACTGGAAAACCTCCACGTGATTAGCATAACAAGGGTTTACCAATATATATATTTAAGGGCTGCCGCCCCTGCCGCCGACCCCGGGATATACACCAACAACAGCAATCGCAGCAGCAGTAGTAAGAAGAAGACCCAGAAGCATCACAAGATCAGAAAAACCACTAGCAACAGGCAGCAAGAAGCATAGTAGGAATGCCTCTATTCTGGCTGTGCTAATAGACTGGCGGCTGTTTGCGGGGGCTTTGTTGGACAGCCCAGGTGCTGAGCCAGCAAGGCTTGTGCTGCGGCAGCCCTGGTGCTGACCGTAGCACTTCGTGTGGACGGCCGCAGGTCTATCTGCGTGGCTGGAGAATGGCAAGCAGAAGAAGAAGAAGAAGAAGAAGAAGAGGCAGAAGAAGAAGAAGAAG